GGACGACGGGTCTAATACAAAAACCACGAAAAAAATGTCCCAAGTCAACCTATTTAAACGTAGTGACATGTAAAGGAATATGAAAAAGCTAAAACGTTGAATTTAAATTGTAATGTCATCGCAGTACTGTCTAATTTTGCTTGCTTCGCTGTCAGTCGAACAAATAAAGACTAAAGCGTGAATGACGCTCTGTATACGATTTTAACGCCCTATAAGTTCGAACACTTTTTAGCGCGTACCCGACGTCCATATAATTGTAAGTCAATGCCTAATAGTTATTTTATTATGCAAGGCTGCAAAGTTGTTGTTTGACGCCAGTGCTTGTATTAAAACTGAACAAGCGAAGGATTAAAATAGAAGGACAAAAATAGAATCCTGAGCGTAGCGAGGGTTCCAGGACACGAGACGCAAAACAACTTTGCTGCCGAGTGAAACACAACTTTTCACCTCACTATAGCGAGGAAAATGGTAGATGAAAGAAAAACAGTTGGAACTAATCCGTTTTAATAAACAAAATTACCGTGGTAATTTAATGTCAACAATAACAAGAATAAAATATACCAACGGATTTATATTACATAAATGATGTACGACAAATCGCATAGTTGAACGTGTCATTGTTTTATTGCATCGAAAAAAAAATTTAGGTGCATCCATTGTCAAGTTTGAATTTCAAAAACATTTTCCACGCAAGCGAGCAAAAAACGAATTTGCGCGCGAATTTCTTGAATGTGACAGACAAAATGAGACAGAAACCCTTTCCGAGCTAGTGAGGTGAAAACAAATTTTTCATATTTACAAAAATAAGGTTCTATAAGTCAGCAAAACACACGGTTTAAATTAATTTCTTGCTTAAACTTGAGCAGCCTTTAGACTCTACTTAGAAAGAGATTATCCATCAGTAGGTCGTACGTATATCGCATTTTTTCAAGAGACTCAAACCAAAATACTTATTGTTTTACTCATTGACTTACAATTATATGGACGTCGGGTCCGCGCTAAAAAGTGTCCGAACTTATAGGGCGTTAAAATCGTATACAGAGCGTCATTCACGCTTTAGTCTTCGTGTGTTCGACTGACAGCGAAGCAAACAAAATTAGACAGTACTGCGATGACATTACAATTTAAATTCAACGTTTTAGCTTTTTCACATTCCTTTACATGTCTCTACGTTTAAATAGGTTGACTTGGGACATTTTTTTCGTGGTTTTTGTATTAGACCCGTCGTCCATTTATTTGTAAGTCAATGGTTTTACTATTAAATATCTGTATGCAGAATATTTAAAAAATGCAGCGATTACGAGACCAAGCTCTCCATTAGTTAAAATAGAGATGTAAAATGACCGTCAAGTTATAAGTGTCTGACCAACATGACCCAGCAAATTGCACGTCACATTGACTTTTCAGAATCACACTCTGTTCCTAAAGTGATGGCTCTAATGAACAATATTTATTTACTAATATTATGCTCCCCGAACTTTATGAAAAAAACGTAAAGAAACAAAAAAGAAGATACGAAAAAAAAACAAAAAACAGATTTTGTAAAAAAAATAAATGAAGAAACAAAATACGAAAAAAAAAACGGATTTTGTAAAAAAAAAATAAAGAAACAAAGCTAACAAACAAAACAAGGCTTGAGTATTCTTAACAGATATCGAAATTGCAGACGTACTATATTTTAGGGCTACGGAACAGAAAGTTACTTTTATTAACTTATTTATGCAATAAATGAATAAATAAATAAATCAGTAAAACTACATAGATAAAATGCTAATAATAAATATGTCATTTTCAATTTTATTAAAAGCTTGAATTATTGATTTGTGTGTGGATAAGTATTAAATATTATTTTGATAGGTATTTCATATCGTTATCTAAATAAGTTCTAGTAATGACAGTTATTTATTTAATGTGAAAATATATTTCCGGACACATAATTCGAGTCACCTCGCATTTTTGTCTTAAAGCGCTAGAATACAAAAGTAGTGTTCGTCGAAGAAGTTTTCTCCCGGTTTCGCAAATTCAAATTACCAACAAGGATTTATGGAAAAGACGTTTAGTATACTACTTTCAAAATTCAAACATTGTTTAAGCTTAGGGCATTTAATACTGAAAATGCGAGGTGGCTTAATTTATGTGTCCGGGAGTGTATTACGTCTTATTTGACCATTATGTTAGATTACTTATGATTGAACGATAAATTTATGTATTTTTATAGATGTCAGGCCCATGACTAAATTGTGTACCTACCTAGTTATGTTTTTGTGTTCTTCTTTATTTATTTTGTTTTATATGCAATAGGATGAAGTTATTTTAATGTTTCATTAATTGACATATAAGGAGTACGATTATAATAACATTCATTCTAAATAAATATTAAACATAAGTTGCTAATTGCTGTGAAGAGCTTGGCTCTAATGGCGGCGGCTGAAGGAATGTACCTAGTTGTTCGGGAAGAGTATATTATTTTAGTGTGTGTCTGCGATTTTATTTAATCACAAGAGTTTTCAATTGTGACAATAATTGACCATTGTGCTCGAGCGTTTCTTGCACTTGACGGTGAATTTACATCTCTAGGTTAAAATTATCACGTGATAAAATTATGAGTCCGCTTTGGCCGCCAATATTGCTTTTTTTAAACCATCTTTCTGAATAATTACTTGTTTTTGAGTAATACAAAAAATATCGTCTCTCTTCTGAATAACTAGCTAAAAACATGTTTTTCTTCCCTTTTGGTTTTTCTCTCGCCTGTTTCCTAACCTTGACGTTGGCACAAAGTATTTTCTATGCTAACTTATTTTCCATTTAGGCCATCAGTTTTTTCAAAATGGCCACCGCAAAGATACAATCTTTTCTCATCTACTATATTGTATCAATTTGAAAAGTAAATACATTTTGTATGTCAGATACGACGGTTAGTGAGGAAAAGAATTATGAACAAAAATCATACTCTTACTAATTTATTTTAATATTAAATAGTAATATATTTTTTGGTAAATATATATAAATGTTATTCTTGTATAATTATAGATAAAATTGGTTTTATTGCGTTTTTTTAAATTTACAAATCATAGCAACACCAAAATCTATTTACATTCTTTCATATTATTGACTAAAAAGACAATTTCATGAAACTCCTTGGACCACTATGGAGCGCATTCACGCGCAAGAGGACTGCTATTCACGATACAAGACAGCGTGGTCCGCTATTTAGTACTTATTGGTCATCGAGTATAACCAGAAATAGAGACGAAATGTTATTTAATTTGTTTGAAAATTATTCTGCCATGTCATTACGGTGACAACTGCGCTCCTATTGGCCAGCCCAAATTCGAAGCAATTGACGGGTGTCGTCAAATTGTTTTACTTCAAAACGACCAGTTCAACTTGAGCTTTGCTATAATGGACGAAAACTGAAAATTACATATTTAATTGCTGTTTTTCCCACACCACCGAATAGAACAGCACACCATTGTTAGAGATATTATCTTTATTACAATAAGTACAGAAAATTTTTGGAATATATGGAGACGTACACATGAGGACAGTTGCTGGCGCTGTCTATACTTCAGTGCAAACGAGAGTTGATATTTATAAGTGATGTATCACTGATGACCAGGAATGTATGGCCCTTATCTCGTCTCTATTTCTGGTTATATACTCGACGTTATTGGTACACCAGCTGTAGCGACGAAAACCAAATAGCTATTTTTGTAACTAATTTGTTTTACATTGACAAGCTGTAATTTATCAAAACTACTAGAACAAATCAACTAGATGGCGCTTATTGCGCGGATTTTTATGGATAGTGCAGACTATTTCTTATTTTGTTTAGGAATAGCGCCCATCTACCCATATTAGGAATTATAAATTAGTTTGTAACACACAACGCCATATATTGATATGCATATCATGATTCATATTTGAATAATATTACAAGGAAAAAACTGACTTTTTGTATTTCACATTAAAGACGAACTAATTGATGCCCACGGCCATTTACATAATATAAACTACTTCCAGGCTATTAATCAGCCCCAACTAGATATAAGACGGAATTTTGGCCTTTTTCAAAGTTATGAGTAGTATAGATATTATAGTCTGGCTTTTTTGAAGACTGAGTGAAATGACAGTTCATGGCGGCAAAAGTGTTGGCCGCTAGCGAGCAGATAGTGATTGTATTCTATCGATAAATATTCTTACGACTACATATTGGTCACGCCTATGGAATAAATAGCCGAACTTGTTTCATTTCAATCATTCTCGACCCATTATTCATCCAATTACTGAGCACAAGTTCATTTGAAGTTTAAATTTTTGTAAGTTCATATGTATTTAGAACTGTGTTTAAAAAAAATACAAAGAGGAAACACATTTTAAAGTTTTTTATTTCAATTCAATACTGATAATCAAATACGGCTATTCTTGTTAAAATGAATATTGATAAAAATTTATCTCTATACTAGTAGACCAACCGTCAAAATAAGAATAAAGAAGGCAATAACGCAATTAGTAATAATTAGAACGCCGTAACTTTCACAATTCAAAAATTTTTGCCATAATTTTATCTTCTCGCACAATCTATCGATAAAACTATCGACAACAACTACATAATTAAAATTTTATGAAAACTGGCAACCCTACAAATGTCATATTACTCTGTCTTCTAAAAAGGCAGACTATAGGTAGTCCTCTTCATTGGTCCATGATAATATTAAAAACACAATAGGATTCTACAAATGGACCTTCGGGACCAGTTGACCTATCTGGCGATGAGTTCAATGGCTTTAAAAGCATTATTAAAAATAAAACCTATCTCAAAAGTATGCTAATCGGCTTTTTTATTGGAATTACATCCATTTGCCAAATTTTACTGCAATCGGTTAATGGAAAATGCGTGAAACCGGATTTATTTCAAAGTTTGCCACCCTTAGAGGTGGAATATTCTCTTCAAATTTAAATGGGACCAATACCCAAGTACCCTCTTTCCAACAAAAAAAAAAGAATAATCAAAATCGTTAAAGAAAATACAGTCGAATTGATAACCTCCGTTTTTGAAGTTGTTTAAAAGTCGCCGGCCGTTGGATGTCACTATGACCTAATTTTCTTCTTTCCAATTCAAGCAAATCACTATCTAGGAATTCAATTACTTTTAAGGCATATTTAGAAAGCGGGAGGGGTCCCGGTGACCACCCACTCGTTCCTCTTCTACGATCCATCCGGCTTGGTATCCATAAACTCAACGACTCTCTTTGTTGGGAAAACCTTATGTACCCTCTTTCTATGTGTGTATAAGGACGCTTTTTGTTTGAATGTTTGTTGGCATATGTCGCACTGTAGAGGGCGTTCTCCGGAGTGGATGACTTCGTGCTGTGTCAGGGCTTTCCTGTCCTGCAAATAATAGACATAGAGCATGAGGGTGGGATCAAGTCCAAGTTTTATGTGGCCAATGACAGTCCCACCGGTTAATCGTGTAAAAGCTTTTATTTTTTAAATTTAATTTTTGAGTTTTTCTGCTCAAAATTAACAAAGATGCACTTACAGTGAAGGCTTTTCCACATTGTTGGCAACGATGGTTACGAGGTTTTTCCTTCTTCTCACGGTGCACTCTCATCATGTGCTTCTCCACGTTGGCGCGAGACGCTATTGGCTGAAAATCAGATTACATATTTGAAAAAAAATCCTATATCGAAGTAAATACATATAAATATGGAATAACAATATTTTCAACACTACTCGTAAGTTTGGGTGTAGTTTGCGGTTGTCTACCTATATGTGCGTCCATGGCACCCGCGATACAGGGTTTCCCTAGTGCGGGGCTAGAGGCCGAGCGTTGCGAAACGCGAGAAAACTAAAATCCATTGCCCACCATACCGAACTCGCAACGAAACAATAGAAATCCGCGGGTAATAAGTCACCGATTCTACGAACATCTACCCACAAACCTGAAAAGTGTTACAAACGACGAAACGTTTAATACCCGACTAAAACTACTTTTATTGGATAATGAATTCTACAGTGTTGATGAGTTTCTTTTGATACAATTGTAATTTTGTTTTATTTGACTTCGTTGTATTTCGACAAGCAGTAGTTAAACTACTTTATTTTATATTCATTATTATTATTTGCGTTAGTGATGATCATATTATCCCTTGACATTGTATTTTGAATTGTAATACTGTGACATTGATAATATGAAATAAATGATTCTATTCTACGAGTGTGTGAGTTATTTATTTATTGAGACCTGATTCGTAAACCATATACACTATTACCTTTTCGCATACGGGACACTTGTGTGATGTCTTCCCCAAGTGCTGGTAGTTGAAGTGGTCTTGCATTTGCTCTTTAGTCGGGTAACCTTTGTTGCACATCGGACAGGGATATCTGAAATCACGGTTGCACATTATCTAACTTACGAGAAGCTTTACAAATCTCTCACAAGTATAGGTTACGGCGATTACAGCCTAAAGAACCAATCAAGATCTGTATAAGATAGAAAATAGTAAGGTCTGTTAAAGGTGGATTCACAATGCACAAATTATTTCGTCTCTATTTCTGATTATATACTCGGTGGTTTGCCATTATGAATGCGGCTTTAGTGGCTAATCTCTAACCAATCACGTGCGGCTGTATTTTTCAGTACGAGGTCGCTAACTTGAATAGACTGTAGCAATATATTGCCATAATTTATCGTATTGCGCGATATGACCTTGGGTTGACCAATCAGGAGCTGCGATATTTTAACGCGCGATGATGAACCTGAAAGCTTATCATCGCAAAACGCGGCAACATCAGCGATCACGAACTGTCACTGTCGTCTGTGTGGCGGGATACTTTTTTCGTTATAATTTGAAGTGTTTTTTGTGGATAGAACTATAAGTTTCTTAAGTGGATTTAGCGGATTCTGCATTCTAGCTGCTTAGAACTAAAAATAAATTGACGGTGGGTACTTTGTATTGTAAAAAAATAGCATTTTTATGATTTTAATATACAGTGCTTCTATTTTCTCAATGTCCCTCGGCAAATTTCGTGTTTCGACTGTCGTCGGGTTTTATTCAGTTGCCCTTTGGCTTTGGTACGGACCGGGCGCTTTAAGTCGACTTGGAAGTATGTAGAGTTGCTATTAGGTTTTTTATTTATTATACAATGGGAAGAAAGCCTTTAAAGACACAGGCACGATAGATAATTTACAGCGTGTACTTGTACAATAGCTATGTCAGATGAAGAAACGCGTTCTGGGGGTCTACTCTCAACATCCGTCCGAAACAATTACTGCCAAATAAGCAATACTTGACCAAATGAAAAGGACGCGTGATGCGAATGAAGCTTCGTACTTGATACTTGTCTTTTAATTTTGTCGAATATTACTTATTTGACAGTAATTGTTTCGGACGGATGTCGGACGGAGATCGAGAGTAGACCCCCAGATGGATTCGCTCTGGACCTTTTGGAGGGAAAAGTTTCGTTTTTATTTTGACTTTCAATTATTTTGTGAAATCTAGTTTAAAGTGGAATAGGATAGTGCTATTGTGCCTTAATCGCAGATTAAAACGCGAAATTATACGAATCTCGAACTAGAATACCCGTAGCGGCCCGTTTTAAGGAATCCCGAGTCAATCCAAGCACGCCGCCTCAAATTGCCTATCCTCTTTGTGGCGGCCATATTTACAGAAACATAAACTTCATATACATTCTGCTAAGCGGAAAACTCGACACTGGCGAAATCTTAAAAAGAAGGAACCGCCATTGAGCAAAACGAAGAAGAAGAAGACCCCCAGATATGGACTGAATTAACTAAAATAACCGGAAAAATATTCATTTTTAGTTATATAAAAGAAGCACACTTTATTATCTTTATATTTTTGTTAACTTGCTTGTTGACATGGACCAAATGTTATTAAAAATAGGGAAATAGTTTTACAACTTTATATTGTTTAACTGCCTCCGTGGCCGAACGGTTACCATGCCGGACTGCCATGCAGTTAGGGTGTAATTTGTAATTGTCTATTTGTGTGTCTATGTGGGGCTATGTCGAGTGCGTGCGTTATTATTATTATTATTGTTCACACGGAAATCAAAACAGCAATAAAGTACGGACAACGGCACATCAGACTACACATTTTTATTAGAAAATCGCCCATGAAGCAATAAAAGCTTAAATACAAGAAAGTAAAAGTGGGATTTTTAAATTATATGAATAAAATTGAGTCCCAGCAGCGTTGCCCCATTGTATGGCTATGCTAATGTGTTGAGCAAGGTAGCCGGTCCTTGGGTTTCCCAGACAGTCTATTAATTTTTTATATAAAATTTTGTACAGATACAGGGCACTGGGACCCCACGGGTCAAGGGTTTCGACTCCAAAAGCTGTAAATAGGAGTCGGAGCCTACTTTTTATTCTTTCCGCCAGCTCAGCTGCAGCGCCAGCCCTCTTGTATGTCGTAAAAATAATATCTCCATGTCCGCTCCACGCATTTCTCCATCCATTATCGCTCCAGGGCAACGGAACAAGATACGTCAATGTGTAGCTTGACGTGCTGGCGTATGTACATTGTTCAAAATTCAAATTCTTACAGAATTTAAATCTAATAATTAATGGGCATGGTAATTAACACTCGCGTGCATTCGGAAATCCGATGATTGTCCAGAGACGTTGTGAAAATAAAAGCAATGTAGTTATTTGTCCGTTTGTAAATGATCCCCATCATGGTTATAACTACCGTCTTTCCTCTTTTCAATAAAGGCAAAGCCAGAAATTAGATATATTCACTAATAAGAAACAAAAACATCTCATCAATATAATTGGCAACATAGACATCTCTTGCCAATTATATTTCATAAATTTGATTTTTTGAGAGGCAAAGAATTGGTAAGTAAATTCATATTGAAGAAAAAATTAAAATTTACACTTCTTGAAAGCATGTAAATTTAGTAAATACTACACTGGTTTTGTTAAATGGACTCGTACTATGTATACTATAGGTTTGTAATTATGAGTGTATCCTCACCAACAAACCGCTTTCGCAGTTTGGTGAGAAATTGTATTATGTTCTCTTGTACGCCTTGTTTGTATGAAATAAATAAACAACAAAACTCACAAACGTCAAAAATACGAGGTATCATAACAACTATTGTGCGTTAAATTGTCGCAATTCTATTGTGCCCCATTTCTGTATTGTGAATCCACCTTAATTCGTTCCGTAGTTTGACGACGTGTGTCTCTGGTTCGAATCCAACCAGATGGAAGGGACTTTTCTTTGTGTTTGTTCGATCTTTATAATAAATAATTATTTGACGTACTTGAACACTTGGTCGGAAGCATGCGCCCTGGAATATTTCAAGTGTGCTTGATACGTCGCTAAGTGAGAGAATACCTGTAAAGGAACGTTATCATAAATATATTGTATCGCACAATTTAGCCCGCAATAACATAAAAAAAGATATATTTAAGTTCCAAAGCAATAAATGGTCTTTTGACTTACAACAACGAGGGAGCGCGTGCGTTCCTTAACTCGACATTGGCGAAATCATCAATTACTTCGATGGGGCCATAACATTTAAAAGAAGAAGAAGGGCATTGAAATGTTTGCTTAATATTTAATTACAATAAAATATTCTTATGCAGCATTTCGTGACAGACTAGAATAGAATGTATGTGGGCTGTCAGCGTGACGTAGACGCTCGATACGTCACTCCCCCGCCGTGCACACCCCACAGTGCATTCAGAACTTTAAAATGCTTCCCTGTAAACTTGGCAATTTCGACATACGATACTTTACGTAGGAGGTGTCGGTATATTACCTAAAAATATGCGATGTCTATTTCGTAAAATTAAGACAGTGCCATCTCTATGCTCCTTGGCGATAGTAACAGTTGACACTAGACTATAATTCCGAATTCACAACGTGACAAACAAGACTCAGCTTGTTTTATTTATTTATCTTCATGAAAATGCGGAAAAATAATTGAAAACAACGTAATTTTAATAGATTTCATTATTACATACTTTTCTTTTTTCGGCAGTTAAAATTCTCTGAATGTAAATAATATTAAGTACTTTAACATTATACTACGATAGGACGATTCGGAACATCAAAAAAGAAAGAGATGGCATTATACAGTTCATATAGCGTTATTGCTTTCCTATTTTTGGTAAGAAATACACAATATTGGGAAATCATTTGTTCTTTCCATTGACTTACAATTATATGGACGTCGGGTCCGCGCTAAAAAGTGTCCGAACTTATAGGGCGTTACAATCGTATACAGAGCGTCATTCACGTTTTAATCTTCGTTTGTTCGACTGACAGCGAAGCAAGCAAAATTAGACAGTCCTGCTATGACATTACAATTTAAATTCAACGTTTTAGCTTTTTCATATTCCTTTACATGTCACTACGTTTAAATAGGTTGACTTGGGACATTCTTTTCGTGGTTTTTGTATTAGACCCGTCGTCCATTTATTTGTAAGTCAATGGTTCTTTCCATCATTTTAGCAATAATACATTACTTGGTTGACAGGTTTCTCAAGGTACGAATATGAGTAATATTGTAATAAGCTTACTTTAAGCCTACACTGAAATAGGATTGTTTTTGGAAAGGTTATGGTAGGCCCCCTAAGACATGAGTTGACAAGTCCCATGTGTCTGTAACTTCACCAGAACCTTTTTCCTTCAAAACCGAAACACAGTAATGCTCAGGCTGCAGAAAGTGGTGGCAGTACTTCCTTAGACGAACTCTTTCACAAGGAGTTCTACTGCTACTAATCTTCAATTCTGGTGGTAATCTTGGCGGTAGAATTAAATAAGAGAAACATAATCCATTTCAGACTTACACGCGTGTAACTTACCTTGTTGCAATCGGTACACACGTGTTGTTCCTTATTCTGATGCCTTTGTATATGGTACTTTAATTGACTCACGCGCACCATTTTGTGGCATATTGGGCATTCGGACCGTGGCAACGGGCCTTCGTGTAACCTGTCCAATTAATTTATTGTCATTTTTAACACCATAAAAAGGTACAAATACCGATTTTTAAGTTATCACTAACGGTCGAAAAGGGCGTCCACGGATGTAGAAACCTGTTTAGATATAGCTACAAGGTGCGATATAGAGTTGTTAAAATCACCAAATGTTAATTAATTACTTTTTACGCAGAACTCGTAAATGATTTTGCTACATCGTAGGATGCTAATTCCGGAAATGGTTTTGCTACATCGTAGGATAAAACTATTCGAAGTCAGATTTTAAAGTAATCATAACTGACTTTTTACCAAAATAGAGAATTAAAAAATTACGCGAATGGTTTCGCCCGTACCTGGCTTTAGATACCGCATGTTGACGGTCACGTTGTTGTAACGGCATTGTTGTATTTTATTTATTTACATGGGGAATTTTAGGACATTTTAGCTTGCATGACAATCGTTGTGATCGCGCTCTAACATATTTTATTTAAATTAAAAACACAGTATAACAGATGTCCATAAATTCGAATCAATAGCAGAAATGTCGTATTTTAAAAGGAAAATGTTCACACACAAATTATTTTAATACTTTTCATTAAAAAAAAAAACTGCCGAACGCTTAAACAAGACGACAAAATGCCATTTTCATTTATAAAATAAAATGAGGATTATTTTCATCCGGAAACCCGGTTTTGGTGGTTTAAACAACTCTATGTCACTCCTTGTAGCTAAATATATATATAGCACTACTGTTACAATAGTGTTGTAACTCAAAATATATGAAATTCAAGATTATACCATTTCTGAATGTAACATTTGTCTCTCTACACGTGAATAAAATTGTCATTAGAATATTGTAAGAAACCATTAAAATATATCTACTTAACCCAGGATGAGACAAACGTTTTGTGAGCTACTTCTGGACAAAACCCCACGCTAGCCCACGTTGGGCTAGCGTGGCGGACTATTGCCTAAACCCTCAATTGAAAGGAGACCCGTGCCATTGGCTATAGTATAGACCTCGCTGGACTATACTACCATAGTACAGGCGTTCTTAACCTTTTCCTAGTAATGGACCCCTCTTAAAATTACAAAGAGCCCACGGACCCTTTCCGAGAAAATGAATAAGAAAGGCTCGCGGGTTCCATTGACGCGCGGCTCGTTCGTTTCTATAATGGACTTCCAACAAAGCCACACTATACAAGCCGCGCTGCGATATTTAATATTGAGTTACCATACTTACTGGTAGCTGTAAAGGTGCCTAACTGGGTGACGAAATACTTCCATAGATTTCTCATAGATGGCGCTACGGCTAAAAAGTCGTTGAAAACCGAACACAAAGATACGACGCAAACACATAGAAAAATTCGTGAGGTCCGCTGGTACGTTCCGTGGCTTGGTTAGCATAGCGTCTAAGCACGGTTTGCTAGAAGACGTCGGTTCGAATCCGGCCGGATCGAAATATTTTTTTCTAAGTGTTCGATCTTTGTATTAATAATTAATTAATAATTTAAAAAAAATATTATTATTATCGATACTAATACGATATTAATACCGTGGTAGTGAACCATCCTGACACTCAATAAAAACACTTAGTTACCATACTTGGTTTTATTCTACTATGATATTACTACCATCATAAACAACAATTTTTGTTCCATGGCTTCTTACAAAACACAATAAAGGACTTGTACCGAATTAGTATGGAGCTTGGTACTTTATTCCCAGAAAAATTTAACCAGAGTCAATTTTTTTGCTAGATATATGCTTGAAATAAACAGCTTAGCAAAATAAATTAAAAAATATTGTGAACTGCATTTTTTATTTATTTATTTAAAACAAAATTGTGGTAGATACATATGTTAAATTAATTCCAGCAACACTACGATCCTAAAAAAAGTCCAAAAAGCAGCAACACTTAAACACTAAAATATTCAAAATTCTAATTGGCTAATTAAATTGCAACAAGAATGACTTTGACATCTGATCTGTCAATATTTTTTTAAGGCATTGGTCACTGACCCATTAGCCAAAAATTACATAAAAATCCGTTCCGTTTCGTGGGATTGCGTTCAGTTTTACTTTATTTACATAGTATTAAAAATCCCTAACGATTTTCTGAAAATTGCAGATCAAAAATAATTTGTTTTTAATTCAGACTTTCTAGATTTTGAGAGCGTTACAACAAACCAACTAATAGCCTGGTTAATTTTCCATTTATTTTAGTACCACTAAAGGAACAACTCCTTTGCCAAAAAGAAACATTTAAGTTTTTGTTGTAGTATCTGACACTTTTTAGATATGCATTTGGTAGTGAAGTAGTAAGTTGTGACAATGTGACCTCCTTACATCGCCATCCCACCTTTTTATCGCCTTTTCTCTGGTTCCTAGCCACTTGTTTCAAATTTTGAATCGTTCTTTAATTCCTTTGCCTCGCCATCCTCATTTTGTTTAGGCTGTAATTTTCAATTGCGTCTAATGTTGATCCTTTTACTAATTCAACCTAAATCATATGCCAATTATGTTAATACCAATCTGTAATTCTGTATAACTCGACCCTTTTCGGGCCTTTTCCTTTCATTTCCTTCAAACAATCGAGTTTATGGACCGAAGGATCCTATTTTATTCCCGTGATCCTGGTCACAGCACACTAATGGTTTTCAACCTTTTCAAATTTCAAACGCGCAAGCTCCCTACACGACGACCCCCACCACGCACAGTTATCAATGTTATAAACATTCTATTTAAATATTACTATTTTTGTACGAAAGCAAAGATGAATTATTCAGTCACAATATTATTATATTATATATGCTATATAATATTAGTCTATTAACTAATATTGTAGATAGAGTTACAAGAATTGGCCATCGAGGCCTGGAAGGCAATGGGTCCCCGTGGTGTGGGCATCCTTACCGGCCTCTTTAATCGCGTGCTCGTCACCGGTAAAATCCCTAACCAATGGAGACTGAGTATTATCACTCCAGTCTTCAAAGGGAAGGGATCGGTGCAGGAGTGTGGCGATTATCGGGGGATAAAGGTCATGTCCCACACCATGAAGCTCTTCGAGCGTATAATAGACTCTCGGATCCGATAGGAGAGTGCTGTCTCGGAGGGTCAATATGGGTTTCGGCCTGGTCTTGGGACCATGGATCCTGTTTTTGCCCTAAGGGTCATCATGGAGAAATACAGATTGAAGAATACGCCTCTGCATTTCATGTTTCTTGACATGCAGAAGGCCTTCGACTGTATCCCCCGTGTAATGATCTGGTGGGCACTGAGATCCAAAGGGGTACCAGAAGCTTATATTGACATCATCCGAGACATGTACCGCGATTCCGATTCCGTGGTTAGGACTGCTGTTGGTGACACTAAACCCTTCCCTGTCACAGTCGGAGTTCACCAGGGCTCAGTTCTCAGTCCCTATCTGTTCAGCGTGATATTAGACGAGGTCTCAAGCTCCATCCGAGACACGCATGAGCAACCCCCGTGGATGCTTATGTACGCTGACGATATTGCGCTGGCGGATGCGGATAGAGGGAGACTGGTACGACGAGTGAATGTGTGGAAGGAGTCGCTTGAGAACGGCGGTCTGAGACTAAATGTGGCGAAGACTGAGTACATGGTCTGCAACGCTACAGATCCCCTACCCGTTCGCATAGGCGAAGACGCGGTCGAGCCTACGGGCCAGTTTAAATACTTGGGATCTGCGACGTCAGAGCCCGAATCGCAGCCGCTTGGGCAAAGTGGCGTGAGGTGACTGGTGTCATTTGTGACCCCAAGATGCCAGTTAAGCTGAAAGGACAGGTCTATAAATCCATCATTAGGCCTGTCCTTTTATATGGCAGTGAAACGTGACCCGTACTTGAGCGCCATAAGCAGGAGCTGCGTGTCACGGAAATGAAGATGCTGCGCTGGATGTGTGGAGTTTCACGGAAAGACCGTGTCAGAAACTCCCGCATCCGCGGCAGCCTTCACGTCCGTGACATTGCAGATAAACTGCAAGAAAGTCGCCCACGTTGGTACGGCCACATCTTACGGAAACCGGCATGCTACGTGGGAAACAAATGTCTGGCTATGCCACCTCCGCCGGGCCCCGGTAGAAGGGGCAGACCTAAGAAGTGCTGGCTTGACGTCGCCAAGGGTGATATGCGTGCCAATGGTCTCACCACTAAGGATGCCGAAGACCGTGCAAAGTGGAGGAGAAAAAGCAGGAAAGCGGACCCCGGGCTCCGCAGCAACACTGCTGAGGACGCAACCGGGATAACGCTCAGATGAGAGAGAGAGAGTTACAAGAATTGGAGAGGATGTGGGTTACATTTTTCTGTATCTAATTGAGCAATAAACATCTTTGAAATAGAGATGCGAATAACCATGAATAACGTCAAAAAAACAGTTGAAACCCAATATTAAAATCTGCAAATCCATAGAGAAAATCGTAAGATCTGCTGATTCGATGTGTAGCTCAATTGTTAATTGCTGTGGCCCTGGTGTGGCAACAAATGTTGGTTCCAGTCCACGCCATAACGAAGGAATTTTCCTTTGGATGTTCGATCTTTGTATGAATAATAATAACAAACTTGTGAAGTATTATTATTATTATTTAGCATAATAGACACACGCTTGGCCACAATCTCACCTGATGTTAAGTGACGATGTGACCTACAATGGAACGCGTTTGCCTAAAATATGCCTAAACACTCTAGCCTTGAATAGCCCCAAATTGTACTGGTATTTGCAGCTAGAGTATTCCATTCCTTTGGTTTTCCTTTTGTTGTGGTATATCAACGACATAAGTTTGGAGTGTTCCGGACCTTCTAGTTGACCGAAGGAGGAACGATGAGGGTGGAACTAAATTGAAATGTTCCTGCGCACACTCGCAAATGTATCCGATAGAAAATTATTAATACAAAAATCGAACGTTAAGGAAAATGTCTTGAGTCCGATTGGATTCAAACCAGCGCCTTCAGCATATAGTGCCTGACGCTCTCGAAACTGAGGTATGAAACGAACCAGTAGACTTGACGAATGTTTGTATGTGCTTGTTGCAGACCTTTGTTTTGAATTTTTTAACAACTTTTTGCCATAGCGCCCTCTGTGAGAAATTTATGAAAGTTTTACTTCACTCAGTCAAGTATAATTTTTCTTAATATAATCGTAACAAACTAGTGGGGTAATTTCACAATAAATAATTGAATATCATAACATCATGATATTCAATGAAATAAATTTCAAACAATTACTTTTTTCTCATTATATTTACCTAAGATGTGTGGCGAGTGTAGTCCGGTTGACAAATCTTTTTTTACAATGGTCACACTGAAGGCCTTCCCTGTGGAACCTTGCCACGTGGTTTTTACGTGCTCGTGAATTTCTGAGAAACAATCACAAAATGGGAATAATTATTTATATATGTTGAACGTTGGGTTAGGACGCGTTCCCATTATGACGCGACGTTTTATTTACCGTTAGACAACTGTCGCATCTAGCCTGTTCCCATATCACGATTATCTGTCGTGACAGTGTCGTGGACGTTTATTTTATCGTTGAACGACAGACGAGTTTAGCTGTTCACACTAGATCGTGACGACAATTTATCGATTCACGGCAGCTCGACAGAAACGTTTGAAGCTGCGATTATCTGTCGTCACATTTTTATCGTGACATTTTATTTATCGTTGGACGACTGTCGTTCTGGCTCTTCCCATTGTCACGACAGTCTGTCGTCGTAACGTCAAAAATTCGTGAACGACACTTAATCGTGTTGTGCTATATGTGAACAACTTCATTTAAATATACAAGCCACGACACTTTAAACTGCACGACTATCGGTCGTCATGACATAATGGAAACGCGCCCTCGGGGTTACGGAATAGGTTCGGGTGGTGGCCGCGCGGCTCTAAATGTGGTTTTCCATAGCATTTAAGTTTATTTGAAAAGAGCAATCCCTACGGTCTTTTGCTCTTCTTCTCAGGGAAGTCAGCACAATGAATGAGCAGTAACTAAAAAAAATACGTTGTCAAGTGTAATTTATTTACGTGTGTGTGGAATAAGTGAGCATAAGAAAATATTTAAAAAAGGTACTAATCGATTTGTAATTAAAAAAGATAGTTTAACAAAACTTTTACTAATAACTAGTACAATAATAATTATATCGCACTGCAATTACAATAGTGTTATAACTTAAAATATGTGAAATTCAAGATTATACCATTGTTAAACGTAAAATTTGATTCTCTACATGTCAATAAAACCGTCGTTAAAATATTGTAAAAAAAACAACTAAAAGATATCTACTTAACTCAAAATGAGACACGCTTTATGTGAGCTAGTTCTGGCCGAAATAGTCCTTATTCAAAAACATGAAGTTATTTTTTCTCTTTTATTTTTAAATATGTATATTTGGCAAGTAGGAAATAACCTATACATAAATTTACACAGATCTTTCACGGGAAGCGAGTATTTCGTTTTTCGTCGATTCTGAGAAAATACACTTTTTGAGTTAATACACTATATTATTAACAGTGCTATATGCAAACTTAATACTTTTGTAGATCTGACTGGCCCTCTGTGTGTTTCGTCTTTTTACAAATAGAGAGCTAAAAAACGACTAATATATTTTAAACATTTTACAGAGGGTGCTCACTCAATCCACACACATATTTATTTTACCCATGGAATAAATAAGAAAAGAAAGAAAGAAACATTTATTCGGCTATTACAAATAAAATATACAAATAATAATAATATTAACCTAAATTTAAATTTCTTTAATTTAAATTTAGGTTAATATTATTATTATTAAAACCACTAAAAAAACAACAAATATATATATTACTAAGTATATAATTAATAGCCGAAAAGGTTAGCCGGCTCAGCTTAATGCTGGGCAGACCCACAGCGCTGATTTTCAGCTGGAGCCTACGTAGAGGTGATGGCTATGCCTATTTAACAAAAACTAAAAAGAATAACAAGGATTTCATCCGTAACCTAAACATTTAAAAACCCAATTAATAATATAATTATTACAATATGCAACGTGCTCTTAGACAATATAAAATAACAAAATTAATAATAATAATAAGAATAATGTCCGAGTAATAATACTAAAATAAATTAACAACTAGCTTTAGTGATTGATGCCGTTCGTTTGTCCTAAATGATTCTTTGACTTTGATTTTGATATGTAGGACAACTCCCGCCTGTTCAGCGCAACAATATCTTTACTTCTCTCGGAGCGTGGGGTTCAGTGACGTAGCGTCGATTTTTGCCACCCGGAGCCAACCTTAAATTTACTGCCCTCTCTATATTCACGATTACAAAAGTAGTTCGTTCGGGCAGGCTCGGCTTGATTGTGTTTTTAAATTCGCCTGCCGTCGCCATCTTTGCGTTGTTCAGGATAGCCCTTATCATATTAGTTTTGATTATAGTGACCCTTAGCGCCCAGTTACACAACGCGAAAGTTTTCGCGCGGCGACCGCTCAGTTACCACGCTATAAATAGAATCTGGATTCTATTTACTAGGCAACAATATTTAAATTACTCTGAATAATACAACCGCTCAGAGCAGCCAGTGTACAGGCTATCACAGACCGTTGTCACTAACTTCATCTGATTCTCGAGGCTAGTCTAGCCCCATATCTTTCTACATTAGTTTTGGTTATGGTGACCCTATCTATCGACCCTTAGGGTATACGAGAAGGGCACGATGATCTGTTGTGTCTGTGGTTTTAACACGGTTCTAGCAGAATATCAGTCATGGGAAACTGCGGCATTTATTTCTAAGCCAGCGCCTTTTCACTGCCACGACTTCCAAAAATATTTACTTTAATTAGTTATATGTGTTACACGTTCCTTTTGTTATAAAAATTTGTTATTTTGAAGTGGTTCAATATAATAATAAAAATATGGTGTTCGTTTTAGTGGATCCTATGTAAATTAGCTGACATGGATGTGAATAAAGTTTTTATCTATCTATCTGAAAAGGATTAATGCGTGGTGACGAGCTGACCGATGTATGCCCAGATCGTAGCAAGTGGAAGGCGAAAATGGATAAACGGATGTAGTGACGGAGTAGTGTGCTACTCGTATATATTTGATGTAATACTTACTTGAAAAACATATCACATTCAAGACATTGATAGCCCTCAATAGTAGTCTTGGACAACAGCTTGCGAAGATCACCCGGCTTCGGTGGCTGCGTTGTTGATTTGTCTTTTTTCTTGCGACCCTGGAAATAAACAAACATACAGAATTGGCGCCCAACGTGGGGCTCTGGCTAAAAAATTGGCACCCAACACGGGACTCTAAGGACGCTTTCACATTATACTCTTATACTTCGCAACTTGAAATACAGGATCGAAGCAACAAGGCCTGTACAAAGATTGTTGCCTATAACATGTCGCACTGATATCAATGGTGTTGTAATTCAAAATACGTGAAATCCAAGATTATATTATTGCTGAACGTAGAATTTGATTCTCTATACATCAATAAAACGTCGTTAGAATATTGTAAAAAAACATTTAAAATATCTACTTAACTCAAAATGAGACAAACTTGTCGTGAGCTAGTTCTGGACAGTCCTTACTCAAAAACATTAAATTATTTATTTGCAAATATATATGGCATGTAGGAAATTGTACATTTGAATATGAAATACATTTTAATAATCTTTCACGAGAAGTGAGTAATTCGTTTTTTATCGATTCTAAAAAAATACACTTTTTGAATAAATACACTATTGTATAAATAGAGCGATATATCGAAAAAATATGTATGTATACAGTGTAAACTACGTACTTTATAGAGAAAACAAATATTATTGCGGCATGCAGCCGCTTCACTACTAAGTTTCATACAATATGCGCAGTCGCATCGTCACTGTCGTGACACGTGCTCGCCACTTTTGCAAGCAGTCACGATTATTGAAGTAAAACGTACGCGCGACTGCCACGCCACTACAGTGCATCTAATTGAAGCTATATATCTACAGCAGCAATAACTCATACCCTTATGACGCCAGTGGATCCAACATCACCAAACTTGATCACGGCACTTGGTATCGCCTTGTTCAAGTGTGACTTAACGTGCATTGTGATTAATTTGTTACTATAGTCGGTATGTCCACAGTACTTGCATATGTATCTGAAGTAGTGTTCGTCAATATGCATAGACAATTTAGATTCCTCTATGTATACGTAACATACTTTGCAAGCTTGAAGACCTGGTCTCTGGAAATACAAGCATGTCATAATAATATTAAAGATATTCAATTAATATAAATTCTCGTTAATAGGAAATTTCCACGATTTGTATATTACTTACGGCTCTATGAGCAGAGATAAAGTGGTCCTCGACTTGTTGCTGTGTATAGAACCCTATTATACATAATTCGCATTTGTACACAGAACTTGCGTACTGCACCTTTTCTTTAGCCTGCTCTCTGAAAAGCAAGACACCAAAACTGTGAAATCCTGCACAAATTGCAATGAGTTATAAAAAGTACAATTAGGGCGCGTGTCCACGCTAAGAAAAGTCGCCGGGTCTATGCAAGAATTCGTGTCGTTTCTACACACGAACTGTGTACACTGCCTCGGCGCCGGACAAGAAAAAAATCTTGTCTACCCCCGACTCGACACGCTCTGTCGCTATTGTATGGGGCGCATTGTCAATGAACGAACGTTTATGCGCGTGGACTGATATTGCAAAGTACCACTGTCCAAAATGCATGATTTACTTATAAGTTTAGTAGAGGTAAGACGAACCGTAAGGTACCAAACTCGTCTTTTTGTTGCAACATTGGGTGAATCCAGTAAATTCTTTTGTATCTTCTTTTGTTATAAATTTTTCTATACGTATAATATGCAATCACCATTTTTTTTTTGCTTAGTAATCAACATATTTCTTCCCACAGTCGGTAGTAAAACGACAGCTACCTGGAAGACTCGT